AAGCCTCATTATCATGCTTGCTCGTTATTGATGTCTGTTTGATGTCTGGTACAGCGTCTGATGCCTGATACAGTGTTCAGTGTCCAACTACATCTGCCGTCGTTCTCAAACACGTCATCGGTACAACCGAGTCATCATGTAGTCAAGCATGAATGAGATAACAGTCTCATTATATACCGTATTCTATCTATTAAATTAGCGGATAGGTGTGAGTAAGTTTAGTTTTTCATCGCCCTGAACAGCATTTAACTTACATAGCATGGATTGTCAGCTTGATAGGGTGGAAAGCCCGAAATGATGCGGGTCTTAGGCGTTTAGCACATTGCTGAAACACATGAACAAGGTTAGGCTTTTGTCGAACCTTGAAACAAAATCAGGGCGAACTATAATTCGAACCAACGCTCATAAATTTGCACGTATTGATACTGGGGTTGGAGAGAAAGGGGGGTGGGGAGAAAGGGGGATGGGGAGAAGGGAGAAGGGGGTTGCAGGCTAAAACGGCACCTCAGCAAAACGTCACCGATTTCTCTGGCGAAAAAGGCAACGCATTTGGCGAAAACGGCTATTACGTGTCGGGCGAAAACGGCACCTCATTTTCGTAGTAATATATATGGTTTATTTACATGGTATTTGATGTATTTACATGTTATTGAATGTATGTGATGTATTTACATGGTATTTCCTGTTTTCACAGACAAGTACATATGTTCATATACACTGATCACTGTGTCGGATTAACGAGACTGATTAATGAGTGATTTCGGCAATTCGTTGCAAATAAGGTGTGTCGGAGTCGGAGTGCGAGAATGTCGGATTAACGGGACTAAATAGCACTGATTCAATCGGTTCCCATCATTTGTGTCGGATAAAGCCGAGTGTCGGATTAACGAGTGTCGGATTAACGAGACTTGACTGTATACAGTTCTTCAGTTTTGTCGGCATGTCCATCGTCATCTTCATCGTGTTCACAATATTGGCCCATGTACAACCGAACATTGTGAGAGTACTTGGCTCAGGGAGAGGTCTCCATCTTTGTATCGTCGCCATATGTCAAATATCTCCTCTTAACGAGATGTAGATGATTTGCGCACATACGCCCTGAGTCGTCCCTCCGTAGGCTACCTAGAAACAAGTGATATTTAGTGTTATGTTGTTGCATTAGGTGTTTAAGAGGTCGCCTTCTGCCTTGGCAATTTCGGTGATTTAGTGTTATATTAATGTAAGATATATATGAGATAACTATTATGCGGGCTTCTGGAAGGGTTTTACTGATTGCTTTCCAAGCACTGGCGCCTGATTTGTAGATGTTTGCAACAGCTTGTTCCTTTACCTAAAACATAATACGTTCAATTACTCTACTGTATTAATAAACTATTCAACATGTAATTGAGAGCTTATTGTAAATTACCGAGAACAATTACACCAATCAGTTATAACAACAATATTAATACCTCAACTCGGACTTGAATTGCTGTCAACTGTCCTGTCAAAGTATGTTATGTTTTCACAATAAGTTGAGTTGCGTATAAGGTAAGTTGGATTATAGTTGGAGTAGAGGCTAATTTCTAATGTAAACTTGTTTTAACATCTCACAATTATTGGCGTTAGCAAGTTACAATGTAAGTTTAATATAATTTATTGTGTATTGGTAGCAAGGGGGTGGGTAGAAATGGGGATGGAGAGAAGGGAGGAGGGGAGGGTGTATTGGTAGCAAGGGGGTGGGTAGAAATGGGTGTGGAGAGAAGGGAGAGGGTAGGGTGTATTGGTAGCAAGGGGGGTGGGTAGAAATGGGGACGGAGAGAAGGGAGAAGGGGGGTGTATTGGTAGCAAGGGGGTGGGTAGAAATGGGGATGGAGAGAAGGGAGAAGGGTTGGGTGTATTGGTAGCAAGGGGGTGGGTAGAAATGGGGATGGAGAGAAGGGAGAAGGGTAGGGTGTATTGGTAGCAAGGGGGGTGGGTAGAAATGGGGATGGAGAGAAGGGAGAAGGGGGGTGTATTGGTAGCAAGGGGGTGGGGAGAAATGGGGATGGAGAGAAGGGAGAAGGGTAGGGTGTATTGGTAGCAAGGGGTGGGTAGAAATGGGTGTGGAGAGAAGGGAGAAGGGTTGGGTGTATTGGTAGCAAGGGGGTGGGTAGAAATGGGGATGGAGAGAAGGGAGAAGGGTAGGGTGTATTGGTAGCAAGGGGGTGGGTAGAAATGGGGATGGAGAGAAGGGAGAAGGGTAGGGTGTATTGGTAGCAAGGGGGTGGGTAGAAATGGGGATGGAGAGAAGGGAGAAGGGGGGTGTATTGGTAGCAAGGGGGTGGGTAGAAATGGGGATGGAGAGAAGGGAGAAGGGTTGGTGTATTGGTAGCAAGGGGGTGGGTAGAAATGGGGATGGAGAGAAGGGAGAAGGGGAGGGTGTATTGGTAGCAAGGGGGTGGGTAGAAATGGGGATGGAGAGAAGGGAGAAGGGGGGTGTATTGGTAGCAAGGGGGTGGGTAGAAATGGGGATGGAGAGAAGGGAGAAGGGGAGGGTGTATTGGTAGCAAGGGGGTGGGTAGAAATGGGGATGGAGAGAAGGGAGAAGGGGAGGGTGTATTGGTAGCAAGGGGGTGGGTAGAAATGGGGATGGAGAGAAGGGAGAAGGGTAGGGTGTATTGGTAGCAAGGGGGTGGGTAGAAATGGGGATGGAGAGAAGGGAGAAGGGTAGGGTGTATTGGTAGCAAGGGGTGGGTAGAAATGGGTGTGGAGAGAATGGAGAAGGGGGGTGTATTGGTAGCAAGGGGGTGGGTAGAAATGGGGATGGAGAGAAGGGAGAAGGGTTGGGTGTATTGGTAGCAAGGGGGTGGGTAGAAATGGGGATGGAGAGAAGGGAGAAGGGTAGGGTGTATTGGTAGCAAGGGGGTGGGTAGAAATGGGGATGGAGAGAAGGGAGAAGGGGGGTGTATTGGTAGCAAGGGGGTGGGTAGAAATGGGGATGGAGAGAAGGGAGAAGGGTTGGGTGTATTGGTAGCAAGGGGGTGGGTAGAAATGGGGATGGAGAGAAGGGAGAAGGGGAGGGTGTATTGGTAGCAAGGGGGTGGGTAGAAATGGGGATGGAGAGAAGGGAGAAGGGGGGTGTATTGGTAGCAAGGGGGTGGGTAGAAATGGGGATGGAGAGAAGGGAGAAGGGGAGGGTGTATTGGTAGCAATGGGGTGGGTAGAAATGGGGATGGAGAGAAGGGAGAAGGGGGGTGTATTGGTAGCAAGGGGGTGGGTAGAAATGGGGATGGAGAGAAGGGAGAAGGGGAGGGTGTATTGGTAGCAAGGGGGTGGGTAGAAATGGGCATGGAGAGAAGGGAGAAGGGGAGGGTGTATTGGTAGCAAGGGGGGTGGGTAGAAATGGGGATGGAGAGAAGGGAGAAGGGGAGGGTGTATTGGTAGCAAGGGGGATGGGGAGAAATGGGGATGGAGAGAAGGGAGAAGGGGGGTGTATTGGTAGCAAGGGGGGTGGGTAGAAATGGGGATGGAGAGAAGGGAGAAGGGGAGGGTGTATTGGTAGCAAGGGGGATGGGGAGAAATGGGGATGGAGAGAAGGGAGAAGGGGGGTGTATTGGTAGCAAGGGGGTGGGTAGAAATGGGGATGGAGAGAAGGGAGAAGGGGAGGGTGTATTGGTAGCAAGGGGGTGGGTAGAAATGGGGATGGAGAGAAGGGAGAAGGGGAGGGTGTATTGGTAGCAAGGGGGTGGGTAGAAATGGGGATGGAGAGAAGGGAGAAGGGGGGGGTGTATTGGTAGCAAGGGGGGGGGGGGGAGAAAGGGGATGGGGACAAGGGGAGGGCTGCATTGATAGCATTGTTGGTTTTGGAGTCGGGGGTGTATTGGAGTGTGCAGGGGTTACACAAACAGGGTTAACATATACACGTTAATACATGGCCACTGCAGGAGGGGAACACACGGTGGAATTCCATGTTTTTATCACACCACTTCCGCCTCACAAACAGTTTAAACCACAGCGCCCTCTTCATCCGGGTGCGTAACCCCGCTGCACGTGCTAAATGTCACTGATGGAGCGATTGCGTAAATACATCACGTGACCTTTCGGTTCATCTGGTGAGTTTAGCAACAACGCGGTGGTTTCTGGGTATATTTGTTAAATCTGATCAATATGCTCTCATGGGAATTGTTGCCGTACTCAAAGCCATTTCAACATTCGTCTTCAACATGAACGCACCAGAACTTGGTTTGCAACCCAATAGCGACCCTGTGAAGTCAAAATGTGCAGAAACTTAAACAAAAAAACGCTTTGCATCGTGTCATGCATCTTATTCTTTGCTGAGATGAAGCCATGACTTAGAAAAACAAACGATTAAGTACGGAAACGCTACAGTGTAATGGGTATCTTTCATTGTATTGTGCATGTGTCTTATCAATGTATCTGACGTTTCAAAGGAAACCTGAACAGTGAACAGTAAGAGATAAATGGATTACAAAAAATATATATAAATTGAAAATCCCATTCACACTGTCATGTCTAATAGCTGATTTCTATCAGTAACAACTTCCCTGAAAGATGAGAATTCATCATCATCATCATCATCATCATCATCATCATCATCATCGTTAACCATCATGTCTCATGACAATTTCTCCAAATCCCAAACCTTCTTATGACTATTTCAAAGACGTGAACGAATTAATTAACGAACACATGAATGAATTAAGACCATTTGCCGCAACGTTCTATCTTTAAGATCACACACAAGGCTGCAACTGAACTGATGCCAGACCCACAACTGGATATACACTGCAATACCTTGTATCTGTTTATTTCCCCGTGCCCCCCTCTTTCAGCGGCGCTTCCCCTGGGGATGCAGTACGTTCCCGGTGTCCACAACGCCATGCCCCTGGGGCCAATAACGCCTGCATTGATGCTGCACCTGACTGACAAGTGCGCTAATCTGCTATGTAGTGTGACCGATAGCGGTGATTAAAGACCCCGTCTCCTGTTATCAAGTTAATACACGCGATCTGCAGGTCTCACTTATCTTCTCGGTCATCCGAGGGAAGCCATTTCCTTTCCGACTCGCTTCCACGGCATCTTGCGATAACCGTTAGGAAAGGGGATGAAATGGGATACAAAAGAGGATGCAGAGGGGAGGGGGTCGAAGTAGGGTGGTGGTGGTGGAAGAGGAAAGAGGCAAGAGGGCCCAAGAGGGTAGGGGATGCATGTGGGGAGGGGGTGGCAGAGGGGAGGGGATGTAAGAGGGGAGGGGATGGAAGAGGGGGTGGGGCGCAAGAGGGCCCAAGTGGGTAGGGGATGCATGTGGGGAGGGGAGGGGAGGGGGTGGAAGAGGGGATGGGCGCAAGAGGGCCCAAGATGGCAGAGGAAGATGATGAAAGAGGGGAGGGGATGCAAGAGGGGGAGGGGATGCAAGAAGGGAGGTGATGCGAGAGGGGAGGGGGTGGGAGAGGGGAGGTGATGAGAGAAGGGGGGAGATACCAGGGGGCTGGGTGCGAGAATGGGAGGGGATGTAAGAGCGGAGGGGATGAAAGAGGGGAGGGTATGCAAGAGAGGAGGGGATGCGAGAAGGGGAGGGGATGCGAAAGGGGAGGGGATGTGAGAAGGGGAGGGGATGCAAGAGGGGGAGGGATGCGAGAAGGGGAGGGATGCGAGAAGGGGAGGGGATGCGAGAGGGGAGTGGATGCGAGAAGGAGAGGGGATGCAAGAGGGGAGGGGATGCAAGAGTGGATGTGTGTTGGTTGGAGCAGTGATGTAGGTGGGAAGGAGCAGTGATGTGTGTGGGTAGGAGCAGTGATGTAGGTGGGTAGGAGAAGTGATGTGTGTGGGTAGGAGCAGTGATGTAGGTGGGTAGGAGAAGTGATGTGTGTGGGTAGGAGCAGTGATGTGTGTGGGTAGGAGCAGTGATGTAGGTGGGTAGGAGCAGTGATGTGTGTGGGTAGGAGCAGTGATGTAGGTGGGTAGGAGAAGTGATGTGTGTGGGTAGGAGCAGTGATGTGTGTGGGTAGGAGCAGTGATGTAGGTGGGTAGGAGCAGTGATGTGTGTGGGTAGGAGCAGTGATGTGGGTGGGAAGGAGCAGTGATGTGTGTGGGTAGGAGCAGTGATGTGGGTGGGTAGGAGCAGTGATGTAGGTGGGTAGGAGCAGTGATGTAGGTGGGTAGGAGCAGTGATGTAGGTGGGTAGGAGCAGTGATGTGTGTGGGTAGGAGCAGTGATGTGGGTGGGAAGGAGCAGTGATGTGGGTGGGTAGGAGGAGTGATGTGTGTGGGTAGGAGCAGTGATGTAGGTGGGTAGGAGCAGTGATGAGGGTGGGTAGGAGGAGTGATGTAGGTGGGTAGGAGCAGTGATGTAGGTGGGTAGGAGCAGTGATGTAGGTGGGTAGGAGCAGTGATGAGGTCGGGTAGGAGCAGTGATGAGGTCGGGTAGGAGCAGTGATGAGGTCGGGTAGGAGCAGTGATGAGGGTGGGTAGGAGCAGTGATGTGGGTAGGTAGGAGCAGTGATGAGGGTGGGTAGGAGCAGTGATGAGGGTGGGTAGGAGGAGTGATGAGGGTGGGTAGGAGCAGTGATGAGGGTGGGTAGGAGCAGTGATGTGGGTGGGTAGGAGCAGTGATGTGGGTGGGTAGGAGCAGTGATGAGGTCGGGTAGGAGCAGTGATGAGGGTGGGTAGGAGCAGTGATGAGGGTGGGTAGGAGCAGTGATGTGTGTGTGGATAGGAACAGTGATGTAGGTGGGTAGGAGCAGTGATGAGGTCGGGTAGGAGCAGTGATGAGGTCGGGTAGGAGCAGTGATGAGGTCGGGTAGGAGCAGTGATGAGGGTGGGTAGGAGGAGTGATGTGGGTGGGTAGGAGCAGTGATGAGGGTGGGTAGGAGCAGTGATGAGGGTGGGTAGGAGCAGTGATGTGGGTGGGTAGGAGCAGTGATGTGGGTGGGTAGGAGCAGTGATGAGGTCGGGTAGGAGCAGTGATGAGGTCGGGTAGGAGCAGTGATGAGGGTGGGTAGGAGCAGTGATGTGGGTGGGTAGGAGCAGTGATGAGGGTGGGTAGGAGCAGTGATGTGGGTGGGTAGGAGCAGTGATGTGGGTGGGTAGGAGCAGTGATGAGGTCGGGTAGGAGCAGTGATGTGTGTGTGGATAGGAACAGTGATGTAGGTGGGTAGGAGCAGTGATGTGTGTGTGGGTAGGAACAGTTATGTGGGTGGGTAAGAACAGTGATGTGGGTGGGTAAGAGCAGTGATGTGGGTGTGGATAGGAACAGTGATGTTGGTGGGTAGGAGCAGTGATGTTGGTAGACGGGAGGGGATGCAGTGATGTGGGCTTGAGGAGGGGATGTATAGGTGGGGTGCAGCAAGGGTGAGGATTGGGACCGCAGGGGGTCTCGAGAAGTGGATGCCTTGTCGGAAGGGGAGGTGGAGGTAGAGGAGGGTGAAGAGTTGTTTGGGGGACGCTGGCAGAAGTAGGGGAAGGATAATGATCAGATGGAATGTTTGACTACTTCTTAAGATTGTAGGCGGCGTTGTTTAACATACAAGCAGAAGCTATTGTCTCTTACAATAATCGTTTCATTCACGTGGACATTCCGACACTCATTTGTACGCCTGTTGGCATTCACTCCGACATACCACGCAGACTAAAGAGACAAAGAAACTTTCTACGTTAGTCTGTCTCTCTTTATATTTTGTTCTGTTAGTGATTTCACGCCATTGGCAATATCGCAACGATAGATCTGAAAGTACACTTACAGGTGCCTGTTTCTTATCGAAGCGCTACGACTGTCGTAACTCATCGACTTGGACATAAACCGACGACACTAACGTAGAAACACTAAGATCGCTTTGTGACAAAGGGGCCTGGTTCGCCGGGGAGTGAACTTATTGCCCCCTGTACATGTCATTGCGAATACAGTCAGATTCCCTGATAGAGGGTGCGTGAGTGAGAAGGCTTAAACCCCTGGATGACGAGCTATTTTCCTGACGCATATTTGTATAAATTCTAAAAAGTATGGTCGCGCCTCATTGGATCTACCTCTGGCTATAAAATTACGCAGATAATAATAAATTTCCTATCAGAGGGTGGTGTGTGGTTTAAGGGCTGCTTCGTACAGAATATCACTCACACCATCGTATGAGCTTAATTGGGGAGGGAAACCCAAACTACCAGACATCATAGTCGGGATTCGAAGCCAACACCACATTTCAAGACACTCTACACACAGGCACCGAGGCCCACTGACCCACCCTACCTGCTGTGACGGCAAAAGGGTGAAGACAAAGTGAGCGCTTGAAGTCGGAAAGAGACGAGAAAACACGGAAATAGACGGAAAGAAAAAGCCAGTCCTGTTCTGCCATGCACCTGCATATCGTAATCTCATCCAGCGTCAGTAATAAAAGTAGCTACGCCAACTCATAGATCCTCACACCCTCTGATTCACTGCCAGCTCTGAAAAATCAATGTTATCTCTTTCTAATTTACACATCAAAGGAAGCTGTAGGACTATGACTGTAAGTCGGCCAGCCTACTCCAGCCTACTCCGGCCTACTCCAGAGAACAGACTCTGTCTTCCGTCCAAAGACGAGAGTCGGATTTAGTCGACATCCGACATTAGAGCAACACAATATTAGGCGTTGGGTGTTGACAGCTTGTTTATTCAGCTACTGTGACATTTCCAAATGATACATCAAATATGTTCATGCTTAAAGAACATCTATGGAACACCCGGTTAATCTGCTGCGCTTCTTTGATCTTCGTTCAGTAAATATTTCCCAGCCGTGTTAAAACCAATGAGTATTGTGCATCAAAGCATGTGTACAGCGATCACCGTATTATTCCCCATTCTGATTCTTGAGCGGCTTGCTCATAAACACACGATGCACGGAAAGGATCACAATACAATTCACTCTGCTCTTATTAAAACAGACACTATTCAACAAAAAATACAAACTGATATCGATCTTTAATGGACATGTTAAAAGTATGTAATCATGATACTTGCGCTAGATCAAATCATTATTGTTTTTAGAGCCTACACATCGACTTTCCTCGAACGCTCTTTACAAAACGGTTTGCTTAAATCCGCTAATGCAATATATGAGAAAGGTTTTCAAGTGCTCTAGATATATATGTATTGAGTTTACTAAGTGTATGTTCAAATTTCCATTATCATATTTCGCGGGGATTAACAAAGCCCCGGGTTTACGAAGCATCGCTACATAAACATGTGTGTTTGTGTGAGTGAGTGGGAGTGTGTTTGTGTGTGTGTTGTTTGTTTGTGTGTGTGTTTGTGTGAGTGAGTGGGAGTTTGTTTGTGTGATTGTTTGTGTTTGTTTGTGTGAGTGAGTGGGAGTGTGTGTGTTTGTGCGTGTGTTTGTGTGTGTGAGTGAGTGAGGTGTGTGTGTTTGTGTGAGTGAGTGTGTGTGTGTGTTGTTTGTGTGTGTATGTGTATTTGTGTGAGTGTGTGTGAGTGTGTTTGTGTTTGTTTGGGTGTGTGTTTCTGTGTGTATGTTTGAGTGCGCGTGTGCGTATGTATGTATGTATGTATGTATGTATGTATGTATGTATGTATGTATGTATGTATGTAAGTATGTATGTAAGTATGTATGTATGTATGTATGTAAGTATGTATGTATGTATGTATGTATGTATGTATGTATGTATGTATGTATGTATGTATGTGTGTGTGTTTGTGTGTATGTGTCTGTCTGTCTGTCCGTCCGTCCGTCCGTCCGTACTATGTGTGTGTGTGTGTGTGTGTGTGTGTGTGTGTGTGTGTGTGTGTGTGTGTGTGTGCCTTTGCATTCATTTATGTATCCGTGTGTCAAAACACTCTACAAGAGTCTACACAATACTACCATATCAAACTACTTGTTGATGCGCAGCCCGTGACCGGCAGCACAACGTCACGACATGCATGCGTATTGTAGTTAATTACGTGGGATATTAGTTTACCAAGTCCTTACATAGTCGTGCCGTAGCACGCGTTACCGACAGCATAGTGCTGGCGGCTGCACGTGCTGTCGGTGTCGACCCCGGGGCTAATGAAGCGGATGATTCCTACAGTGCACATCGTGTTTTAAAGGGGCTGTCACGGCACAAGGGTCTCGTATTATTTATTAATCAAGGCCACTGTGTTGTTGGAGGTCGACGTCTGCGCCCGGCACGTCACACGCACGTTGTGCACGGTATCACGCAGATGACGTCGTATGCCGAGGATGCTGCGCGGGAAGCAGGACGAGGATTCACGTTCATGACGCCACGTGTAGCTGAGTCTTGGACAGGGGCACAGCGTACTAGATATTGCTATGAAATGTGGCCACTGTTTTGTGTTTATTTATAACAGGGCGGTGGGGTAGCTTAGTGGTTAATGCTTTCGCTCGTCACGCGGAAGACCCGGGTTCGATTCCCCACATTGGTACAAAGTATGAAGTTCATTTCCGGTGTTCTTTGCTGTAGTAATGCTGGTGTATTGCTGAAAGCGGTGTAAAACCATACTCACTCAGTCATATTATTAACAGTTTCTACACGGGGAGTGCCATGACCAGCAGATCGCGGCCTAAGACGCACACCGGAACCGCTTGGGACCACACTACCCTGTCAAGTGGTAAATGGTTATATTATCAATACAATAATTCCTTGCTTTATTTTAATTGTGACTGGACTTCCTTGAATATTTCGATTTATTGAAGTTATTTCTAATGATAATATTATATTCACACTGGTTTGTAGGTTAAGTATGATTGTGTTGTTTTTGAAATGAAAAATATAATTAGTTTTCGCAAGTTCCTCAACAAAGCTGACTAAAAAAATCAGTTTCATGCATACTTAATTGGCATTGTTTCTTAGACGAGATTGGATTTCTTTATCTATATATAACTGAAATATTTAGGAGTATTCTCTTCCGGGATACTGAACTGGCGAGAGATGAAGATGTATTTATCCCACGTGCAGTGTACATTGTAGAGGCGAGCAACATCAGTGCATTACAGTGTGACTCACGTTAACGGCTTGTCAGTTCTCCCGCAGTCCTGGATCGAATACTTCACTGTCAAACCGTGAAATGTAACTTTATCTTTATGTTCGCGAAAAATAAAACTGTTCGTTGATAAAACAATTCATCAAACCTCCATGTCAGAATAATGAGATCTGATTGGTCCATGTGATCTTGATAAAATACTATGTATCCCACCTTGGAGGGGAATACATTTGTCAGCGGGGTAATATATCTCTTACACCCCGCCACGAGTAAGTCAGGCTGCACGTGGCTTTCTGAGAGGCGGGGGCGGTCGGGTAGCCTAGTGGTTAAAGCGTTCGCTCGTCACGCCGAAGACCCGGGTTCGATTTCCGACATGGGTACAATGTGTGAAGCCCATTTCTGGTGTCCCCCCGCCGTGATATTGCTGGAATATTGCTAAAAGCGGCGTAAAATCAAACTCACTCACTCACTCACTTTCTGAGAGGCAGAATAAATCCCTATTATCCCGCTTCAAAGCAAAAAGCTGTTTTCTATAAATTGTGAATTTGTTGAATTGCTTTACAATGTCATTTTAAAACATGTCGGTAAGATAAATTTGTTGTAGCAGGATCACTCGGGGTACTAAACAGACTACCCGGCTCATGGTATACACCCTAGCACCGGAGGCACACTACCCCATGCCAAGTACCCCTCGTGATCCTGCCACTTATAGTAGTTCATTTTCATAGTAATCGTTATGCAGGGAAGCATTTAAAGTCACTCAACAAAAAATAAAACTCATAACTCTTTTCACCACATTTACAATAACCCCACTGTTTACTATTTGCTAAGTCCTTATTTGACCTCGCTTAGTCCTTATTTGACTATGTCTTAGTCCTCATTTGACTATGTCTTTGTCCTCATTTGACTATGTCTTAGTCTTTATTTGACTATGTCTTTGTCCTCATTTGACTATATCTTAGTCCTCATTTGACTATGTCTTAGTCCTCATTTGACTATGTCTTAGTCCTTATTTGACGATGTCTTAGTCCTTATTTGACTATGTCTTTGTCCTCATTTGACTATGTCTTTGTCCTCATTTGACTATGTCTTAGTCTTTATTTGACTATGTCTTGTCCTCATTTGACTATGTCTTAGTCCTTATTTGACTATGTCTTTGTCCTCATTTGACTATGTCTTAGTCTTTATTTGACTATGTCTTTGTCCTCATTTGACTATGTCTTAGTCTTTATCTGACTATGTCTTAGTCCTCATTTGACTATGTCTTAGTCCTCATTTGACTATGTCTTTGTCCTCATTTTACTATGTCTTAGTCCTTATTTGACTATGTCTTAGTCTTTATTTGACTATGTCTTTGTCCTTATTTGACTATGTCTTAGTCCTTATTTTACTATGTCATAGTCCTTATTTGACTATGTCTTAGTCCTTATTTGACTATGTCTTAGTCCTTATTTGACTATGTATTAGTCCTTATTGACTATGTCTTAGTCCTCATTTGACTATGTCTTAGTCCTCATTTGACTATGTCTTAGTCTTTATTTGACTATGTCTTTGTCCTCATTTGACTATGTCTTAGTCTTTATTTGACTATGTCTTAGTCCTCATTTGACTATGTCTTAGTCCTTATTTTACTATGTCTAAGTCCTTATTTTACTATGTCTTAGTCTTTATTTGACTATGTCTTAGTCCTCATTTGACTATGTCTTAGTCGTTATTTGACTATGTCTTAGTCTTTATTTGACTATGTCTTAGTCCTCATTTGACTATGTCTTAGTCCTCATTTGAGTATGTCTTAGTCCTTATTTGACTATGTATTAGTCCTTATTGACTATGTCTTAGTCCTCATTTGACTATGTCTTAGTCCTCATTTGACTATGTCTTAGTCTTTATTTGACTATGTCTTTGTCCTCATTTGACTATGTCTTAGTCTTTATTTGACTATGTCTTAGTCCTCATTTGACTATGTCTTAGTCCTTATTTTACTATGTCTAAGTCCTTATTTTACTATGTCTTAGTCTTTATTTGACTATGTCTTAGTCCTCATTTGACTATGTCTTAGTCGTTATTTGACTATGTCTTAGTCTTTATTTGACTATGTCTTAGTCCTCATTTGACTATGTCTTAGTCCTCATTTGAGTATGTCTTAGTCCTTATTTGACTATCATAAAAAAACAACCTCTATTTTGCTTTATAAAAGTCCTAATTTGACTTTAGAAATTATATGCTTTTGCACCCTGATTTGACACTGTTAGAGACAGCCTTTGTGAACAGTTAACCGTACATTTCTTTCCGTATGCGCATAGTACAAATAGTTTGCTACATTTGTTACGATTATAGAGTTTGACGATGACATTAAGATGTTGAATTGATTGATGTTAGTATGAAGATAAAACTTGGTGTGAATGTATATTTGTCTTAACTGTACGTATGCTGGACACACTAAAAAATGGAATTCATTTTCAACGCAGTTTGAGTTACAAAGTTTACATTTATTTAAATTTCTAGGTATATTGAAGTGAAGCCCACGCCCAATTTCCAGGTCATGGCAACTTGAACGAAAACACGAAAGAGCAGTTTTGAATTTGCTCTCCAAATCCTAACCTACACAGACAATTTCTTAACATTGTAACCCAATTTACCGTATCAGCTGCATCGGATACATCGTGTGAGTGAGAATGATTTAACCCGGCTATTATCAATATTCCAATATTTCAAGATTTGTCAATCTATGATGAAGCGACGTGCATGTGCGCTCGCGTGCGTGGCTGCTTGTACCACCTCCGGTGTTATACGCAGTGCAAGCCCACTGAGATCTGGGTACATTAACGAATAATGAAAGCTCTTTAAACTGGATTTGTTTCTATTTTGGCTTCTGTTAACTTCATCACATTATCCAAATATTGGAAGACAAAAGAAGTAATTTAGATAAAACATTGGTTGCTGGCAGCCACAATTACACAATGTTGCATCGCCGTGGATGCTGGAAGAGGCACGGAGGCTGAGATCACGCGCTGAGAACTCCGTAATGATGACCCGAGGGACTCTAACTGAAACAGCTTTGTTTTTCAATTTGGTCTCCGTTAATGACTTGAAAACTCTCCACATCTCTGGTTTACTTTTTGTCAAACGTTTCGAGGATTACCAGGGAGGCATTCAGCAAGATATTGATTTACTGATAATGCCATTGCTCTGAAAAAACTCTTCTTTACAGTGTTATGAACGCTAGGCTTCATCGGTGGTGCTATGTTTGATGTGTTTTCAAAGCAAGCAGTATTGAAGGGAATATTCGTCTCAAGCTGGAGATGTGTGGATTCGTGAGCGGCACCCCAGGCAAGACCACTGCCAGCTCACTAAACCCTTTATTACAATCTACATTAAAGACGGCCGAGAGAGGGATGGAGACTTGAAAGGCACATGGAGACAGCCTTTTCAGCAAGTCGCCACACTTACAGCGGGTCAAGATCAAGTACATTGTGGAGGTAGTAGCAGTTGTAGTAGTAGTGGTTATAATAGTAGTAGTAGTGGTGGTAGTAGTGTAGCAGGACGTGGAGCCATCCCACAGATGACACCCTTACCTTGTCAGCTTGCTGACGGGGTTAACCTCTTTGGTCATGTGGACAAGGCGTCCGACCTCTGATCAGAAGGTCCGTGGTTCGAATCCCATCACGGGACTCGGAAATTTTATGGCCAGTAGAGTAGTAGTAGCAGCAATAGCAGTAGAAGTAGTAGCAGCAGTAGGAGTAGTAGTAGTAGTAGTAGTAGTAGTAGTAGTAGTGGTGTTCGTGCTGGTAGTCGTAGTAGTTATAATAATAGTAGTAGGAGTGATAGTAGTAGTAGTAGTTGCAGTAGTAGTAGTAGTGGTGTTCGTGCTGGTAGTCGTAGTAGTTATAATAGTAGTAGGAGTGATATTAGTAGTAGTAGTTGCAGTAGTAGTAGTAGTGGTGGTGGTGTTAGTAGCAGCAATAGCACTAGAAGTAGTTGCAGTAGTAGTAGTAGTAGCCGATGCAGCAGCATCAGTATTAGTTGTAGTTGTGCTAACAACAATTAAGACAAAGCGATAATGACAACAACTCCCTCCACACCAGACCACTCAG